GTCAAGGTATTCCCGTTGATTATCAAATTCAGTGCGCGTATCTTTATACAACAGAGTTTTCATGAAGCAGTAGTCTAGTGGTTAAGACTCTGTCATTTGGAGCAACGGAGTGCTGGGTCTGATTATCAATGGGAGCACTGCTACTCAAATGAATAAAGGTACATTCACCTGAGCTTATTGGTTTGTGCAGTTGCCTTTCAACCAGTGGGTCAAGTGTCTGAACCCTGCTCTACCTACCGAGATCAGGCAGTGTCATTAAATATCACACATTACGAGTAGGTCACTGCCTACTGCACGAATGTACGCGAAGCTACCGAAAATATATCGTTTTCTATTGTTTCAGCTGATGAATCTTAGTTAGGACGAGACATTTGTCCTGAATTCTACAGGCAGGCACCACCATCCTGAGGATAAAACGCCGACAAAGAGTAATTATTTCGATCCTGTAAAAGAACAGCTAGCAATTACAAGTATTCACAGGATTTGAAAAAGCGACTACTGAGTTTCTGACCTGGTTCCCTACCGACTGAGGCACCAGACCAGACTACCACGTAAACTCTTGACGTGTTACTATCTCTTCATTGCATTCGCACTGGCTTCCCAGTCAAGACCTTTCATTCCAGTCCTAATCTAATTGAATTAGAGAGGGAGGGGCACTACATTCTTTGTCAGTTTGACTATCCGAGATAGCGGTGGTGTGGCAGACTTGTATTAGCACTGGCTGATGGTTGGAAGGCGAAATGAAAATTTCGGCCACGGCAAGATGCGAAGTGAAATAAAATCGGGTCAAATAACTGGTCTTGTAGCTCACTTAGCAGAGCACTAGGCCGGAAACCCACTAATCGCTGGTTCGGGTCCTGCCGGGGTCCAAATTCTCATTTCCCTATCAATCTAAACCTGGTATCAGTACGAGTCTGCCAAACCATGGCTTTCAGAAGGTCAAACTGATAAATTTATACTTGACTAAATTTCAAACACTAACCATGACTGTAGTGTAGGTTGACTCCTCAGGTCAACATGAAGTGTGCCACAGTTTCCTTTAGAATGATGAATTGTTGATTATATTGGCCAGCTGAACGATGATAGGAACTACTGGCCATACTCATATCAGTATCAGAATGTCAAAAGTTTTTATGGTAGTAAGCATCGTATAAACTTTATGATACCTGTTTGGAAGCCACTGTCGATCTAAGCATACATTCGAGCTTGACAGGTTCACTACTTACCGGAAATTGCAGTGAAACTGCACATCTACGTTTTTTGTGAGTGTATTCCTTCTACTGGAGGACTTCAACTCTATAACACCAGGTATCCTTGATTTGAATGAAGTTCATTCTAATTAAATGACAGTGCTAAGTAACCAGAGTTGGCAGCAAAATGTAATTTAAATTCGATAGTTTAAAAAACTAATTGATACATATATCCGTTACTATCCTTTCTGAAGGTTACTCATGGTCTTATCCACAAGTCTTTGGTGTCACTGAATCTAAGGGTTCAATGTATCAAACTTACGTCTCAGAAACCCCACAATGTTCATCCATCCTCACAACTAGCAAGACAGTTAGTGTACAAATGACGGGACTATTATGTGTGAGACTCGTCAACAGTGTGCACTCATCACCCCGCCCCACGAGGCATCGGACCCAGGACCTTCAGGTCCTGCGGCCAGCAACTCGATCAGAATCCAATGGTCCATATTTCCAAAAGTTTAAATAGGAAAGAGCTATGGAATTTACAGCCAACAGGAAGTAAGAAGGTCATAGGATATGAAGTGCGAAAAATTGCTCTAAATACATGTTAAGACTAGTAACAGTTTGCAGCTGCTACTGTGGCACGTCTTGTTGAATACATTTCCACGTAAATGATCATAAATTTAGACACAATATAGTAACAGTCGTCGGAAAACCAGAATGTCCTGTAACAGAAATACCAACTGTTTAGAGACCAAAATGTTTTGAAATAATCTTCCCCAAGCAGTAAGCTAGATTACAAGATCACACATTAGATGCCAGAAAGTGAGATTCCTTTCGTTAGTGTTATTTTAATACAGACAGAGTAAGAGGGAAGGGAATTCAGCTAGTTAAAGTAACCTAAAATATGGGGAATACAGAAAAACGAATCCATCATGTTTGTTCTAGTAATAAGTTCTAATTTTACGTTTCAATTTTAGAAAATCAAATGTGGCCAAGGCAATTTCAACGTCATCTTAAATGCTGAGTTCAGGTGCAAATAGTTACATGTAGGATGACAGGGACTACGAAATCATGTTGGGAAATGACCAATGGCTGTTTAACCGATGAAAAGACCCTAGAAAATTTGAATGTCGCTGCGATGGTGATTCATGTTTAATATCTTCTCCCACAAACTCGAAGATCTACAGACGAAAACTAACAAGTTGACAGAAGAGGCAGGGCAGGGCAGCGAACACGGGACTTCCTTCAGGTGAACGTAGAGAGGACAGAGGTGATGAAGATACCCAACCAACAATGCTAACAACAACAATAACAAGCACCAATCACCATCAATGGAAGAAATCTAAAGCAAGTTGTCTTTTTCATCTACCTACTGAGGAATCATTTCATCCTTTGAACTACAGGTAGCAGCGGTGGCACAGATGAGGACGTGGTTGTCAGGATTTGAAACGCAGCAAGCCAGGCTTTCACTAATCTGAAATCAGTGTGGAGATATACTCCACTTCACTCCACTCCACTACACTACACTATACTACACTAAACTACACTTCATCCCACTACACTACACTCAGTATTAAGCGTGAACAACATACACATTCTCAACACTAACGTCACTCAAGTTACTCAGTGCTCCTTTGTGATGGTTTAGAGACTTGGAGTGTTACGGAAAGCATTTCCAACAAACTGAAGACATGCATCACATGAACACCTGCCACATACACTCACTCGAGACTGATACTGATAGTGAAGATGGAGATCATATCATATCATATCATATCATATCGGATCAGATGAGATCAGACCAGATCAGATGATGAGAATAATAAGAATAAGTAACGAGGAACTCAGTCTGACTGGCAACGAACCAATAAAGCCATAACTTGTCACCCAACAAATATGCATGAGAAGAGAGTGGAGATGGATCGAGTTGGATTGGATTGGATCAGGCATTCACTGAGATGGTTTGGAGACATCGAGCGCCAGGCCAGACGAGGCCGTCGAGTGGAGTTCAAATGGGAAACGACGAGATAGGCATCTGGTGTGAGGGTGATATAGAGGGGATTGTGTGAGGAAGAAATAAAAGTTTGTGGGTAGTTGTGGAGCTAGGTTGAGAAGGCTATAGAGAAGAGAGTGAAATGGTGATGTGCTAGTGAACCCATTTGTTTCTCTGGGAACCCAAGGGATAAATAACAATAATTAATGCATCCTCGAATATCCTTCCAAGTGACAAGGGACTGGTCTTCGTCAAAGAAAGTTGAACCTATTTTTCTATGATTTTCAGTTCTATGGAGTAATCAAAGTGGTTCGCAAGATTCCTACTTGCCTTTTTATGAGTATATTCTAAAAGATTTTCTTTCACACCAGTAACGATCAGTAGATACTGACAAACATTGTGTCTTCCACACATTGGTTGATTACTTGAGAGCAGTCACTTTCATGTTGTCTAGTCCTAAGTGCTGGTCATGTTCAGATCGTTTGAGATTGTAGATATTAATAGGAGCAAAACTCACATCAAGCAGGATTATCAAGTCCTGAATACTAGTTAAACATCATCAATACAAGTGATAAGTATTTACCAAGCTGGACTACTTCACAAGATGAGATCTAGTGCTGATAGCTAACTAGCTTCGAGAGGTAATCCCCGAAGTTCCTATAAGAAGTCGTGACCAGTGGAGCCAATCAAGCGGAACATGAGGACAGTTACTCAATGAAGGCATTGAATTCAGGTCTCACTATATCATGAACTGACGGAAGTAGGAAATATACGCCAGTAAATTCTGATTGATTGGCTCAACGGTATGGTGATGGCCATAGGTTCAGTCCTTGGCACATTGCTGAGGAACCTCATGCCAGGACGAAACAGCTATCCAGTGTTCATAGATTTACAATGGTTTTCCAGCTGATATCAACCCATGATGAATGCCAACCTAAAGTCAAAAAATCTCTACAAAACCTCAAAATGGGATCTGTTCAATTTGTAACTATTACTTTCAGAGGGATTGACTTCTACAAGCCAGTGTTCCAATGAGCAGTAATCTTTCCTTAAATGAATAAATATTTCTATATGAAGGTTTATAGGAACTTATTAGTTTTATGGCGATATTCACCCCGGACTCACATCAGTTGAATAATCCCTGAAAAAGTGGAAGCTGTTTCATCCTAGTAAGAGACTTCTTAACGGTGTGTACCCATAACCTGATCACGGATCGATGTAGAACCTTCACGTCTCATAGTCAGTAGGCTTCGATTGACCCACTCGATCAGGATTCAATACTTCCCACTGTTTTACTTTTTTTTTATAGAACTACTACAGTCTAACTTAAGTGGTCCTACTGGTCTCGACTTCTTATTAGAACTTCAAAGAATTTCTTCTCGAAGCATATCACTAGTGAATTTTGTGAACACTAAAAAGAAAAGGAGATTCACCAAGTGATTACACAGTTGAAGAGAAAAAGAAAGAAAAGTTCAGTTATTAAGATAAAAGGAAAATTAATTACTGATACCTTTTGAAAATATGAATCTGTAATTGAACTTAAAAAAATTCTTGGGCTATTATATTTATTGTGGCTAGCAGAAGAATCCAGGACACGGGTTTCGTCCTATTTGGGACTCGTCACCTGGATGTACCTGCACCCTAGTGATCTTGTTCCCACTGAGACTTGAACCTCGTAACCATCGCTTTAAACGCTAAGGCTTTTTGGTTAGCAAAGCGGATAACGCCTTGGCGTTTAAAGCGATGGGTACAAGGTTCGAGTCCCAGTGGGATATTATTTTCATTGTTAATTATCTTGACAGGATTTTAATGTAATGGTAAGTAACATTCTGATCACAAATTTCTCAGCATTACTTAACCTTAAATTCAATTGGGATAACTGACAAAATTATTAAACTTGAAAACTAGTTTATTACCTTCAACATCGATTACTCCGATAGACAACTTGAATCTAATGCTGACATACAAAGACATATTTATCAATGGTAATTTGACTATCTGACTGTCGTCTTGATGCTCTGCCAACTCATATAAGAAGTCTGACCACTGACTAGATTTTTATTTCACTTCAATCATCAAGGTGGTTTACACCCAATTAACATGAATTCGTGAAGTGTTATTACCACTTGGTCGTACTCATAATGGCTACCCAGTCAAGACTCTTCATTTCAATCAACTATCATTATTATTATTATTTCCCCTTGGGTTTTTAGTGGAGCATAGGGCTTCAGTAGCACTTCACCATTTCACTCTCTTCTCTACAGTCTTCTCAATTGCATTCAACGACTGCCCACAAGCTTTCATTTCTTCCTCACACAATCTCATCCATATCAACCTCACCTCGGATGCCCAACTCATCGTTTCCCATCTGACTTCCACTCGACGGCCTCCTCACTGTATGCACAATCCAATCCATCTACACTTCCTTCCTATGCATATTTGTTGGGTAGTAGGTTCTTCGTTGGTTCATTCCCACAGTTCCTTGTCGCTTATTGTTTCTGGTCATCTGAGCTTAAGTGTGGAGCCAGCATAGGCAGCTGTTGATGAATGTCTGTAGTTTGTTTGAAGAGCTTTTGATGACACGCCAATTCTCTCAACCGTCACATGGAAGCACTGACTTGACTGAATTTGTGTTGAAAATCCGGATGTTGTTCACGCTTTATGCTGAGTGCAGTGCAGTGCAGTGCAGTGCAGTGCAGTAGATCTCCACACTGATTTCAGATTGGTGAGAGCCTGTCTTGCTGACTTTTTCGATCGTGTTTTTGACATACTCATCTGTGCCTGTGCCGTCTGTAGTTGAAACGATGCTGCCTAATTAGGTGTAGGTGAAAGAGACTACTTCCTTCAGGTTTCTCCCGTTCATGGTGATTGGTGCTTGTTGTTGATGCTGTTGTTGCTTGGGTATCCTTATCAACTCCGTCTTCTCCACGTTCACCTGAAGGAAGTCGCGTTTTCGCTGCCCTGCCATGCCTCTCCCATCAACTTGTTAGTTTTCGCCTGTAGATCTTTGAGTTTGTGAGACAAGACATTGGACATAAATGATGATCGGCAGCGAAACGCAAATCTTCTAGTGTCTTTTTGTAGTTGAAATAGCGTATGCCCCTCTTCTGTCTGTTCACGGTTTGTTGCATGATCGAGTCCACCACAATCACGGAGATCATTGATGACAGTAGATGGCAACCTTGTCTTACTCCTGATGCGGGATAATATTTTGCTTGGTGTGGACGGGAGGCTGATTCTTCGCCAGTTCTTTCAAAGACTTAGGTCGCCCTTCTTTGGGAGTTTGACAAGGTAGCGCTTCTTTCAGTCAACGGGCGCGTATATTTCCTTCCTCCCTTGCAAACCTTCTGCAGTCGTAGTGTTAGCATGAAAGTACGATAGACCTGGATAACTGTTTGGTTTCAATGTGGGACTTCTCAGTAATACGCATCCACGAATTCAGCACCTTCAAATTTCATGGTGAACCTCAAATAGTATTTCTGACTGCTATAATTTTGTGTATTATTTGCCCTTGGGTTAAATCTTTCGTGGCTTATTATTACCAATTAATATATAACCATCATTATGAATTCTATCAATGGGATGTGGCTGCTGTTACTGTTGTTAATGTCATTTCCATCTTTACAGTTACTTTGACTTTTTATTAGTAAAAGAAGGAACGTGGCACCAGCATGTAAACAATATACATTTTATTAAGCATCTTAGCTTTCATATAGGCATACATATATACTTTTTTGAAGATGAAACCAGGGTACCCTTTTCATCATAATTTATAACCTGCAATTTAAAAGCTTTTATGAAGTGGAATGGGATAAAAGAGTAGAGACATCTCGATGTCTGTGTGTATGTGTGTGTGTTCTTATATGTAGAGGAGAACGCGGGTTGACTAATAATAATAATCTTTTTTTACATATTGTCTCCTTTCTCCTGCCTAGTAAGATCCTATGAATTTGTTCGGAGTGACACGTGGTTACGGGGCTTAATCTCAAGTTGACATGTATATACAGGGTGTCTACATGTGTGTGTATGTGCATATGTATATGAAGGTAGGTAATGTCGGTGTAGGGAATGTATAAGAAGACTAGTGTGTTTGATTGAGAAGGTTGAGAAGGTGAAACAGGAGACTACGTTAAACATATAACCATCAGTTTATCATCCTGATTAGTGTAAAGATATACAACAAAAGGTAGAGATTGTGAAGACACCTATTTTTATGATAAATATTTATATATGCTAAAACAAGAATTATCTACCTAACCAGCCAGCATCTTACCATCAAAAGAAATGTAGAAGACGATGAAAGAGAGTCAGAAGAAAATGGGAATCCTCTGTGAATAAAGTGTAAAGCATTTCTCCCCCCCTTCTTATTTCATCATAATCATTTAAAACTATTAAGTCCAGGGTAAAACATACCCGTGTTTCATAAACCACAGTAACTACTAAGATCTTTGATAAAAGAAGTGTACTCGTGTCAATTTAATCCTCTCTTGGGATTGGTTGATGAGAGAAAGTATGAAGTCAGTGAATATTAAAATATGGAGGGAAAAAAAAGAGAACAAGTACACAAATGACTAAAGAAAAAAGGTATATAAATAGGCTAAATTTCAATAAAGATTTACCTAAAAAAAGTTTTTATCTTTGAAAGTTTTGAGTCTACTCTTCATCCATTTATATTTATCACATTATCTTATCTAGTTCAACTTATTCCTCCTGAAGGATTCTAGTTGAAAGATACATAAATAGTGATTCAATCCTGATTGCATCACCAACTGTTATTACATCTCTGTAATAACAGAAACCGCAAACAAACTCAAAGTTTACAAGTAAGTCCTATTCTATATATATATATATTACTGATTATTTTGTGTATATTTTGAAATATTATATCTCCAATACCTACAGTTCATTTGTAAGCTGTTTACCTTTTAAATAATACACATGTTAACTAGACTTCATGGCTATTACTTTGATAAAGTACTGATTACTGATTAAACAGCATGTTATTTGTCTTGCCTCGTTTTCAATATAGAAAATAAAGAGTAGAGAAGCAGTAGGATTCCCGTTTTTTTGACATATAACTAGTTAAATTTTTTTGAGGGGGTTGTGGAGATTTGGAAATATTTCAAGTTGGGTGCGCACTGCTGAGGAGTCCCATACTAGGACGAAACAGCTGTCCAGTGCTTCCAGGTTTCCTTTGTCCCTCCAACTGATATCAGTCTTCGATGAATAACAACTTGAAATATAACTAGTTGTTTACAACGGTGAATTCCAGTGAATTAGATATTCACTTAATGTTATAAATCTATCTGGAGGTTTATAGAACAGTGCGCATCCATGATGTCATCTAGCCAAGAATCGAACTCAGGGCTTTCAAGTTCCGTTGTCATCTAAGGAATTCCATACTAGGATGAAACAGCTATCCACTACTCTCAGGTTTCCAATGTTCCTCCAACTTACGTCAGTCCATGATGAATTCCAATCTAATATTATAATTGACTTGGTTATGTCTAGCAGTAGAATCTACAGTGCATATTTCATGTAGTAATGACCAATTTTTCTACCAGTCAATTTACTAAAGTCGATATACAGTAGATGAGCCTGATTTCTACGGTTTCCAGGTTGATTTATCTCATCTTCTTCGTGCTGTGCATGAGGCAGTCGCATTGGTTCTACTTCGTGTGTATTTTTCTCATTCTCTTCTATCATATATATTTTATTTGATGGCGATAGCTGTTTGTTCAGTGTGTGTATGTCTGTGTGTGTGTGGGGGGGGGGAGGAGATGAGCTTCAAAGTTTTCGAACTTAAAAGGGATATTGGTCGTTAATTTAAAAGCGTTAAGTTTATTCCAACCTTGAACAAACTGATTAGAGAGCAAGAAAGATTCGAATAAAAGAGTTGTGTAGTGATGTTATTTAACTGATGACTGCCATCAATGAAGTCGAGGATACGCGTTTCGTCCTGACTGGATCTTAGTCGGTGATAGTATTCCTACTGGGAATTAAACCCAATCCCTATCACTTCAAATACTAACGTTTAATCCGTTTAAGGTTATTGATTCACAGTAGCTCATAAGTGAAGGGGCTTATATATGCTGAGAGAATACTATCGAATCGATTCAGTGTAATAAAAATCAGGAAATGACAAGTATCCATAAATTAGATAGTTCTCCGATCGGTACTGGATATACACTCAGTATACACTCAATCTACATTAGACTTCACAAAAAACCTGCGTCCTTAATAATTTGTTGACGTGTTTACTTGCTGCTATCGTGTGGGAAAAATAAACGCCAAACATTATTATTATTATTATCATAGTTATTATTATTATATGACTGAACTACTTAATACAACAGTCCGCTGTATTTTGCCATGAATTAGTGTTTTCATAACAGTGAACTGTTAAATACACATGTTATAGTCTGCTTGATGGCTAGTAGTGGGATCCAGGACTCAAGTTTCGTCCCATCTCGTCAGCTGGATGTATCTGCACCTCAGTGAGTAATGTTCCCACTGGTCATTTCAAATGCCAAGATTTTGTCCTTTAGAGAACTAGGGCATGAGAGTTGTCAAATGTACAACAGGTATCACCTGCTATTTATGACCACTTGTAATTTCTTGTGTTGATATACAGTGTCGAATTGTTTGACATTTGTTGGTAGATGACCTCCTATGCGGATACGTTCTAGCACACTATAAAATAATTGAATATTCAGCCAGTATCATTAAGGCATCCGCCCAGGTGCACACTAGTCTAAAAGTGTTAATTGCATATTTTGTTCATTGTGTGGTATGGATTGGGAACAATCGAATAAAGAAAGGCAATATACTACGCTATATTAACCATCTAAATTTCTTTAGTGAACATCTGCTTACAGATTTGAAGAAAATTTCAAAGTTGATAATAACATGTGTTATCATTTGTTGGTCTCATCCTCTTTATTCTCTACGGAGGTGAGATTAATATCTACCAGGTGCAGTAATCAACTAGTTCCTCAATTGAACTAATTTTCATTTAAAGTTACTTGAATAATTCAACAAATTCTGTCGAATCAAATAAAGGATTCATCTATACTGGGTAGTGATTAAAGGTGAAAAGAAAATTTAGACCACGGCAGGATTCGAACCACTGACCATCGGGTTTCTAACCCCATACTCTACTAATTGAGGTACTAGGGTTGACTACTGACCACTTCAGTCACCAAGGATTTTACCCGGTTCTGGTTTGAATCAGGCGGCAGTCCAACTTTTTATTTCACCTTCAGTCATCACCCAGTTTGACAGACGTCAAACCACGGCTATCTCAGATACTTGTCAAAACGATAAACAATATGATGCCTCTCCTCTCTAACTCGGTTAGATTTAGGTTGTGATGAGAAGTCTTTCCTGACTGGGCAGCCATTGTGAGTACGATTAAGTGGTAGTAATGCGTCGCAAATTCACATGTCAGTCGAGGCTAATGATCCTTGGTGATTGAAGTGGAATAAAAATATAGCCACAAGCCAGGCTTCGTAATACATCTGGTAGAGCATCAGGTAGGAAACCCGGTGGTTGCTAGTTCGAATCCGACCGTGGTTCAAATTTTCATTCCATCTTCAATCACCACCTAGTATCAAAGAATTTATCATTGCATAAGTAATCCATAAATCATAAGCTATCAGTTTGGCAATCTAGGACTTGCTGTGGTTTGGCAGACTTGTATTATTGACACTGGCTGATGATTGAAGATGAAATAACATCCTGGGTCATGGAAGGATTTAAACCAGAGGCCTCTGTGTTACTCACTCAGTGATCTACCACCTGGTTTATGGATACACCAGTTGGATTAAGATCAATATTTTTACTTCAATTTCAATCACATATTAGTCAGTATAAATATGTTTCATGCCTGTCTGAACTCTTCAGAGGAATATACATTTGATTTCCAAAGCAAAATAATAAAAAAAATCCGCTATTATCTGCTGTACTAAGTTTCAAGAGATTCCTTCAGATGGATGAATGCATCGTAGAAAATAATTAATTAGGTATACTTCCATCATTAGAAGCGTTTTAACAATGTACCTTATGTTTACTGATATTGTTCGACCTCGATTGGCATATAGGCAACTATGCGGATGCCTTGACATAGCCTGAATGTTAAGTGTGGTAATTCGTCTTAGTTATGGCTAGCAAAAGAATCCAAGATGTGCGTTTTGTCCTATTTGAGACTCGTCAGCTAGATATACCTGCACCTCATTTGGCATAGTGGATAAAGCCTTGGTGTTTGAAGCAATGGGTACGAGGTATGAGTCTCAGTGGGAACAACATCACTCATTGACGTGCATGTACATGTAGCTGACAAGTCCTAAATAGGATGTAATGCACGTCTTGAATTCCTCTGCTAGCTGCAACCGAAACGATTTACCATAATGTACTTTATAGATACATAAAGCCAAGTTTCGTTTATAACAGTATTCTACTGCTGAAAATCTTTTAAAATATACTTCGAAATATGTTATAATATAACTTGTTTTTCGTTAAATTTTAGAGATAAAAAAACAAAAACAACTTTCTCATATGATGGCAAGTTATTCAGATGAAGGAAGAAACTTTCATTCTCCTGAATACAAATGGCCTAAGCTTACTAGTTTACAAGAATTGTATACTCATTCAACACCTTTAAACCAATCATCAAATTTGCATCAATTTCATCCATTATCATTAAGTTTTAATGGATTAAAAAATGTATCCAATGTAGAGAAGACTACACCACTGTATAGTCCAGTAACTGATGAAGGATATTCTTCTGTTGGATCCAGTTCAACACCGATTAGTTTATCGAACAATCCATTAACTACTGAAATATTTAATCATTATAAAGATTATATACATCCTGGATGTATGCATAATTCTTCTAATCAACGAGAAAAGTTAGAAATTGTTGCTTTAGAATTATTAAATCAAGCTCGCTTAATTCCAAATCATCCATGTTTTTCACATTCATTGAATAAAGATATTTTAATGAAAAGTGATGAAAATAAGAGAGCTTATATGCATACAGTTTATTCACAACATCCTGAAGGATACAATGAAAAGTGTAATTTATTGTCTCAATCAGATATGAGACTTGGAAGTCATAACTATACTTCTCTTACAAAGTCATTGGCATCGATTACACCGAATATCTCGCAAAATGAACAAATAAAATGCTATAAACAACATGAAAACATTCTTAAGGTGACTACAGATAATCATACTGTTGCTTCTACTGCTGCTACTACTACTAATGTTGATGTTGATATTGACTGTAATCAATCAGTTGAACGTCGTAGTCGTATCTGTAATCAAATTCTTGGTCAAGTTCGTCGAGAAATGATTAAACTTATCGACAACAGTATGCAACAATTAGAGACTTATTTACAAAATCAACATTTTGAAAAAAACCTTCAAAATTCACCAAATTTACTAGGCTATTGTAACTCTCAATCAACTTGTCTTCAAGATCTTATCGATGTTACTCCTCTGGATCTAAAGTTTAATAAAAGTACCAATAATACGGAGTTAATGAGTAACAATAGTGGCAGATATTGTCAGAATCTATACAATAAATCACATGATAATCTTGTGTCTTCAACATATGAAACGTTGTCTACCACAGAGTTACAGCCAATGTCATCGAAAACAAGACCATTACGTCTTAGTAATAAAACGCGTAGATTAAGAATTCATCAACTCAATAGTCAATTATTTGCTAACAGAAGTCAAACAAAGAAATTGAACAGACTGTCTCCTGGTCAAACTAATAAACGTCAGATAAGTGACGATTCGAAAGAATCACAGAGTAAAATTCCTCATTTGAATGAGTCTCTGGATTTGAGAATTCATCATGATGATCGTGATGATCAAAACCAACCGGCACGGATAGTGTTGTCAAACAGTTCTCAGAGTAACCATTTGAATACACGTTTGAAGAGATCCATGATAGGTAGTCAGAATAAAGTAAGTTTTTACACTGTTTGGAATACATTCTTATTTGTTGGCTTCCGGTGTTTGCTCAGAATCATATGGTTATATAAGCCCAGTCTACCATGTTGTAGTGTTAAGAAAATGTGTACCATTGTATTCCAATCCCTTGGCTGTATAGCAGTGTGCTGGTTGCGGGACCTAAATGTCCTAAATTCGATCTCTGGCGGGGTCATGGGTGCACACTGTTGAGGAGTCCCATAGTGAGACAAAGCACATTTCCAGTGCGTGAGGATTTTTAATCGTTCGCCAGCTGATGTCAACCCATGATTAAGACTGATTTGAAGTCAATCAATCAACCAGTTCCAGCAAAAACTGAAATTGGGCTCCTGATTTTCTTCATTGATTCAGAAAATACAAGCCTGCTGAGATTCAGGATGCATTTGTAGCCACAGGAAGTATTCGATAGTTGGATATGTAGATGCGTCTCTCCCTGTATCTCAGCTGATTATTCAATGCTTCGAACTTTGGAATGGTGTGGAAGATTAGCAGTCTGGCACCAGGATCATTGTAGTTAAGTGTTCTCTGAGCTTTGATATTTCGTCGTGGATTTGTCATTGGCAGGCTTGGCACTACAGGCTGCTGATGAATCATCCACGACGAAATATCAAAGCTTAGAGAACAATAAACCACTGTTACGTAGTAACAAAGAGGGTTTTCGTATTCAGTGTTTCATTTGTTGAAAGGAATTTATAGTTAGGAGGTTACCCTAAGAATTACGTAATCATTCATTGATAAACCACTTCACTTTTTTCCACTTCACGGTGCTGTATTCATCTTGGTGACTATTAGTGTAATTCAAGGCGTGTGTTTCGTCCTATTTGGGACTCGTCAGGTAGATGTACCCACACCCCAATGAATGATGTCGTTCCCACTGACACTCGAACCTCGTACTCTTGGCTTCAAAACTCCGAAGCATTATCCACTACTCCACTGAGGCATGATGACCCCTTCTTGAGCCTTGGATATCAAACACTTTGGTATTGAAATTGATGGGTACTGGGTTCGAGTCCCAGTGGGAGTAAAATCACTCACTTTGGTTTGTAGGTGTATATTCAGTAGAGCAACTCAATTCTGTATAGTAACAAGTATCATAACAATACATTTTCATTTTTCCAATATAGACAACAACCCTGAGTGCAGTTCATCTGAAAAAAGCAAAAATGATGTTCATGTATTCACGTTATCCAACATCAAGTCTACTAAAATCCTATTTTCCTGAAGTGATTTTCAATCGTGGATCTACTGCTCAATTGGTAAAATGGTTCAGTAATTTCCGGTAAGCTTTTATTAAAAAAAAAAATGTTATTAAATGCATAAATATACGCGAAAATTTGCACAACATCTCCGATTCAAAATGTTCTTACATCATCTACTCACTTATTCTCTGACATTTTGGAAGATGAGAAAATAAAAGAGAAAGAGAAACAGTGCTAACAATGATGATTAGTGGTACATAAAGAAATCGGTCTGCACAAAATGGTGAGATGTGTTGTTCCACTAGTTGCATGTTTCAATGTCTTGTCTATTTTGTTGTGTTTAATTTTGTTCAATTTTGTCAATGTTCAATGTGTGTTTTTTTGTTACAATTGATGTCGGTGTATTTAAGCTTAACCGCGTTTATTTGTTCTCCAATCAAGGTGTACCTCACACTCTATTACTACATGTAGGCTGGATCTAAAAGTATTAAAATGTGTCTATCTGCTTATCTATCATAAAATGATATACAGTAAAAATGTGCAATAAACAGCTGCAGGTTAATTGATGAAATCTGTTTCTAGTTCAGATTACTGAGATTTACCTCAAAGTACTTGGGATAAAACAAATTAGCCTATTCATTAATGTATCCATTGTAACTATGAGATTTGGAGGAAATAGATAGTTAGGCACCGGTAACCATCGTTTGTGTATAACCTAGTTCCCCAGAGGGCCGACTACTTTTAAGGTGTTCTCACCAGTATGCATGAAAATAGCATTCAAAGTTGCATACACACTGTATGCAGAGAAATAAAGATAAAAATTAAAAAAATTTTTCTTTAACAATCAATTATTCCTGTCTTCAATACCTAACCTTTTATTTATTTTCTCCCTCCCATGTTCTTAATGATGGTTTTGTGTATGTAGAGAGTTTTTTTACATACAGATAGAAAAGTTTGTTCGTCAACAGAAAGCAAACGGTTTAAAGAAAGTCGATGATATTGTTCTACCTCGTGAACATGAATTAATCCGCAGTATGGAGATACATTTTAATAAAGGTGATGAAATTGAAGTAAGTTGTCAATTTTTTTGTATTCATCTTGATGACTGATTAGGAGTGCAATTCAGGTAGGATATTTAGTCCTAGAACAAAAATTTTCATCAATTCCACTTTGTCTTTTTTCGAACCAAGTTGGTAAATGCTCTCGTATCCAAATATGCGTCTGAATAATTCAAGGGAGACACTGCAAGTGACATCCTATCACAACGCCTAGCTAGACCAGTCAATAGGACGTTTTATGCCAATCGGCTTTGTATTTCGTTCTCTACTAAGTTAGTGTTCAGTTGTAGACTAAAGGATAGCCTACCTAATCTGAGCTGTTCATCTTGCATATATCAATTTAACTATTCCTGGGGCACTAGTTCCACAGGAATAGTCTAGAACTGAACACTAACTTACTAGTGAACGATATACAAAGCTGATTGGCATAAAACGTCCTATTGACTGGTCTAGCTAGGCGTTGTGAATGTCACTTGCAGCGTCTCCCTTGAATTATAAGCCCAAAAAGCTAAAGTTTCTCCACCACTGTCAACTGTTCTTGTTTAGAATCAGTGTAGTTCATATCAGCTTTGATGAACTTAACAGGATACCCGTTTTCATTGAAAATATCACTGATACATTATTATTATCATTTGTCTCTTTGGTTCCTAATGGAACATACGGCTTCAGTAGCACGCCTCCATTCCATTCTCTTCTCTCCAATCTTTGGAACCTCGCTCCATGACAACGCAGAAGCTCTCATTTCTTTCTCACATGATCTCCTCCATATCACCCTCAAATCGTCGTTTCCCATCTGGGTTCTACTCGGGGGCCTGGCCTGGCGCATTGAGCCCCCGAATGGTCTTCTCAATGAATGCCCAATCCATCTCCATTTCCTTTTACATATTTGTTGAGCGATAGGTTCTTGGTTGGTTCGTTGCCAGAGTTCCTTGTTGCTCATTCTTCCTGGCTATCTGAACTTCAGTAATCACTGATACATAGTAGTTCTTTTTTCTACACACTCCTTGGAATAAATCTATCTTACTCTAAATGATGCGTTTGATTATATTAAGTTCGTACTTCATTTACACGAAGTTGAGAAAATCCGTATACTGTGCTTTAGACTTTAGTTTTCTGTCTATACTTCTCAGGATAAAATCATCCTTTTTTCTTGCCATTAGCGCATCAAGAAAAGGTATCAAGTCACTGATTGAATTTTCCTATTTTAAAATGAAGTGATAGGTGATCTTTGTTGAAATGGTTCAGAATAGAATTAATACATTATCCATGTATCGACAGTACAACTGCAAATTGGCAATTTCATCTTTCATAGGACTATTTTCTAGTTTTGTCAGATATGTCTCTACAAATATTAGGCTGAATGATGATTCTATAGCCATTTCATAAACTTTGTTTATACATATTTTGTTGAAGATGAACTGGACATTCATAATGGATTTCAGCAATAGTTTCTTTAAATTCATAATAAAAATACCAGAGTCTAATACTTTCCCTAATCCACGATTTCTGTTAGAGTGAATCAACTGAGTAGTTAGATTGTTTCTGAATGATTTTATTGATTAAAAGCTTCTTAATCGAGATGTGGAGAGAATATTGTGCAGAAAAAAACACTTTTATGTTAGATCAATATAGGTGAACAGCCCATTTTTATCTTCTCTTAGATGATATGTGTTGATACGTGATGTATAGGTGTCTGCGGATTACATTTCACGCGTAACTAAGTCTAGTGAAACGGCATCTAGAAGATGTGTAACGAAGAGTCATATTACATAATAACTCCATAGTTTAATGGAATGTATTATTGTTTTCCTTAGTAAATTGAACTTTCATTACAGTTTAACTACATCTAATTAATAAGAGAGACTATAGTTTACATTGTGAATGTAAATTTTATCTGAAATGAATAAAATGCATTTATATTCAAGGAATCTGTCACTCAAGTCTACTTCATCTAACTGACTTAGACTTTAATGATGGAAAATAGACGCACATTTTGTCCTATTTGTGACTCATCAGCTAGATGTACCTGAGCAGTGTTGTTCCCACTAGGAAAAAGCAACAACAGTATACCTTCTACTTTGTTGAAAATCATCTATCAATATCCTTACATATACTTTATCATAATAATGCTCTTGGGGGATTTGCCACGAAAAGAAGCAACTCTGTCGAAGGCCTGATAAGCGAACCATTTTGTCGTTATTAGTTTATTCATGCCTCAAGATAACATTAGACATTATATGCTAGATAAAAATTAACATCAGTACTGGTCATATTTAGTGAGAAGTGAATGGCATATTTTGTCGAAAAGACTGTTAGCGCACCTCCAAGATGCATATAAACATCTTGAACTAACTGACATCTATCAGAGTGCACCACTATAGTGAGCCTTTTAGCTTGGTGACTACTATGTGTCTAATCCAGTACTACACAAGGTCAATCATGGCCTGAATACCTCAGTGGTAACAATTGATGAGACGGAATACAATGTCATAAGCAACATCAGTTCCGTCGAGGTTGGAGAAAAGCCTTAATGGTCAGTATATTTGTTGATTACAGTTTCCAATTGTATTTATCTACCTTATTATTATTACTATTATTATTATCGTGTTATCACTACAGACTCCAAATGAATTTCTGAAAGCTATCCAAATTACCGTCTGGGAATTTGCTGATGCAATTCTAAATGAACATGATATCAATTCATCATGGAAGAAAGCGATCTATAAAAAAATTTCTACTCTGGATATACAATTTCCAGAATTTTTTCGATGTTAACAACTTAGTGTTTTTAGTGAACAATCTTGATACATATTTATATATGTAATATTTCGTCTACGTAATAGAAAAATTACACCTTTTTTGCATAATAGGGCTTATTTCAAAGCATTCTACTAGTTCTTTTCAACCGTGTACATTCATTCTTTATTAATCATGTGGTTACTTATTCGTACTTTCTTTTCAGACAAATAAATCCTGTATATTATTATTACTATTATTATTATTATTATTATTATTATTATTATTTAAGTAGTTCTATCTACGTACTTCATAGTTTCGAAATTTTTCTTATCTAAGAGTTGCATTGTTACAAATAAAATTGATAATTCAATCATAATTCAATTTTTTCTCACCACCAACTGGTAAACTGTGAAGAAACTGTACAAATTATTGTTATTATTATTATTATTAATATACAACTGTCTCATATCTTATCAATTCATTCTTTTATTTTGAATGTGAGTAAGGCAGATGAGTCAATTGAACAAGAAGTATTATTGCTTGCATTATGCCATCGTTGATTGGACGGAATTGATCGGTCTCTATTAACATCTAGGCTTCTGTGTGGATGCCTCGTTATTACCTGTTTTTAATTAACATAGTAATCATGATTAGTGACCGGCAGTGGAATCCAAGTTCACGCGCATTTCATCAGCACTGATGTACCTGCCTCCCGGTGAGTCATGTTATTCTAACCGGGATTCGAACTCAGGACCGATCTCTTCAAACGCAGGAGCCCATATGTCAATAGAGACTGATCAATTCAGTCTAATAAACGACGAGCTAATACAAGCGATAACATCAAAACAATACCCATCGCACAAGAAGTGACTGTCGTGGATCGGTAGTGTAGTGGATGATGCTCTGGTGTTTGAAGGGATAGCATTCGAGTTCCAGTCCTGGTAGGGACAATGCCTAGCAGTGGGGGGCTGGTACATCCAACTGACGGGTCCCAAATAGGACGAGATACGCATTCTGGAACCCAATGCTGGTCATCGTCCATCATTACTATAAACTGAACAAGAAGTTGAGTGGTAGAAGGAATGGCTACAAGCGTTTTGTACTCTTTATTGAAACTCAAAGTTCGGCTGTCTACAAACTTACTGAAGGCGTCGATTAAATAGTGAACTTTATCTCTAATGGAACATGCTAGTGATTGATATGAGTAGTTAGAAGTCACCTACACTGACTACAAGTTTGGAAACTGCTGTTTGTCATGAGAATGCACGCTTAAAACTCCTCAGGCTTTTGAGGGAGTTGTGGAGATTTGGAATTATTTCAAGTTGTTATTCATCGAAGACTGACATCAGTTGGAGGAACAAAGGAAACCTGGGGGCATTGGACAGCTGTTTCGTCCTAGTGTGGGACTCCTCAGCAGTACGCACCCACCACCCCACCAGCAGGGATCGAACCCGCGACCTTCAGGTTCCGCGACCAGCGCGTTACCATTGAGCCACTGGATCAGAATCCAATGCTCCATATTTCCAACTTCTGTTAGCTCACAATATAGCGCAGACCGCCACCCAATGTCATCGTTGAGTATTTGTCCTCACGGCCATCAGGCTTTGACTCCACCGGTCACGACTTCTCATTGGAACTTCGGGAATACTTCTCGAAGCTAGTCACCAACGAGCACTAGTTCAATTAAATTTTGAGGGGTTGTGGAGATTTGGAATTATTTCAAGTTGTTATTCATCGAAGACTGACATCAGTTGGAGGAACAAAGGAAACCTGGGAGCACTGGACAGCTGTTTCGTCCTAGTATGGGACACCTCAGCAGTGCGCACCCACGACCCCACCAGCAGGGGTCGAACCCGCGACCTTCAGGTTCCGCGGAGCACTGCTGAGGAGTCCCATACTAGGACGAAACAGCTGTCCAGTGCTCCCAGGTTTCCTTTGTTCCTCAGGCTTTGTTTTATCCTTCACATGAATGAATTATTTGCAGAAAATATTGAATGATTCAATAGTGGTGAACTTTTGTCAGCATGTTAATTAATCATAACGTTAGAGATATTTTTTGAATAAAAATACCATTTCATTGATAAGCTTTCATTATTGGCTTAACTTGTTCAGAACATATTATTCACCAACAGTACAAACAAAAGAGAACCGCGCTTTCATCACTTTCATTGTTAAATATACAAATGATATAAATTTCTCCTTAGTAAAATACTATTTATTTCACATGGATTGTGATATTCAACAGGATTATGTTAGAGTGATCTATATCTTCTGGACATCATGAACTGCAATTTTCCCGAATACTAAGGATTCATTTCACATCACCTAAATGGAAATTTTTGCTCAAGGATTAGTCTTCACTGGTAGTTCGTCTAACAGTGGAGTGTGAAACTGTTGAGTTCGCTGACCAATTCACTTGCCTGAGAAGTCAGATCAGCTCTAATGGATGGATGGATCAGAGGTCGGCGAAATTTCCGAAAGGATAAAAAAAATACTCACTTGACTTTCGTCAATTTACACCATTTATAGCACCACCGTGATATTTGACTGTCTGTTAAGGGTTGAATGCACTGTGTTGCAGTTCCCTATACTCTACTGTTCGGGTGTGAATTAATACGCTCATTAATGGTAAAGAACATGAGGTTTTGTGGATTTTTTTACTGTTGTCTTCGAAGCTTAGACCGTGTGTTTCAGTTTCATCACTCCAGTAATGCAGAGGCCAGGTATGGGGAGAGGAGAGAAAAACTAATTGGTGGAATTGTGAAACTTCATCAACTAAGATGGTTGGAACATGTATTGCACATCCCTAGTCATCGAATGCTTTGTCCCACAGCGTTAGGTGAGGTAGGTTTAGACTGGAAAAGGGTTAGGGTCGACTGACTAAAAATGGTATCATTGTATAGAATCTTTGACTGTTGGTTTCAGCCGTGTAGGGGAATGTAGACTAACCGGTTGGGTCCTGGATGGCAATAAAAACTAGTGTTTGTAGACTCTAGGTGATGTGGCAAGGAATCAGTCCTACTAAAACACATACACTGAATTCAGCAGTTTCATATTCCTTCTTCTCCTCTCTTACTACTTTTGACACGTTCCTCTTCATTTCTAAGTCTTTGTCACAATATCTTCTTGATAGGAGTGGTAATATGACATATAGTAGCTCGAACAGTTATGCAGTAATCCCTCATCCTCTCTTACTGTCGAGGATGATGGTGAAATAATATCTTCTGAAGAAAATTTATATATATATATATATATATATATATATATATATATATATATATATATATAGACTCAGGACAATAGCGGACATGTTCACACCACTATTGCAGAAGGTTTGGGAAGAAGGAAAAATACCTGCACATTGAAAGAAACACTACCTTATCAAACTCCCAAAGAAGGGTGATCTAAGACTTTGCAAGAACTGGTGCAGAATCATGCCTAACTCCTGTACATCCCAAGCGAAATATAAAGCCGCATCATCCTGGAGAGACTAAAACATGCACTGGATTCAAAACTACAACACGAACAGCCTGGCTGCCTGGCTGGCTTCAGGAAATACAAATCATGTGCGGATCAATTTGCAACGAGACACTACGCATCATCATAGAACACAGTATAGAATGCCAGTCAACCCAACTCAACCTCAACTTCATCCACTTTCAAAAGGCCTTCCACAGAGTAGACTGACAAGTAATTTGACAAACAGCTGCTTCAACACTACGGCTTTAGTACCACAAACATTTATCAATCTCATTCAACAACTAGATGAAGACACCACATACAAAGTAATTCACAATGGAAAGCTCAGTGATGCCTTCGAAGTGAAGACACGGGTAAGACAAGACAAGACTGCCACCTACTATCACCAGTCATCTTCCTGATTGTGGTCGACTGGACTGGACTGGACTGGACTGGATCATGCAACAAACAGTGAGGAGCGAGAAGAGAGGGATATACTGGACCGACGACTTGTCTAATGTCACACAAACTCGAAGATCCACAAGCGAAAACTAATGAGTTGACAGGAGAGGCAGCACAGGGTAAGGCAGGATAGGGCAGGGTAGGGCAGCGAACACGGGACTTCCTTCAGGTGAACGTAGAGAAGACAGAGGTGATGAAGATACACAATCAACAACACTAACAACAACAACAACAATAACAAGCACCAATCACCATCAATCGGAGAAACTTGAATGAAGTAGTCTCTTTCACCTACACCTAATTAGGCAGCATCGTTTCAACTACAGGTGGCACAGGCACAGGCACAGCCACAGGCACAGACGAGGACGACGACGAGGACGAGGATGAGGACGTCGAAGCAGCCAGCATCCGAAACACAGCAAGACAGGCATTCCTTCATTAACCCTCATTAACCAGTGTGCAGATCTTGTGCACTGCACTCAGTATAAAGTGTGAACAACATCCGGATTTTCAATGCCAATGCCAGTCAAGTCAGTGCTTCAATGTGATGGTTGAGAGACTTGGTGCGTTACGGAAAGCACTTGCAACAAACTACAGACATTGATGAACAAGTGGTGCCTACGCTAGCTTGATAGTGAGGCTGAGATGGTGAGAATAATAAGAATAAGCAAGAAGGAACTGTGGCTGGCTGGCTGGCTGGCTGGCTGGCTGGCTGGCTGGCTGGCTGGCTGGCTGGCTGGCTGGCTGGCTGGCTGGCTGGCTGGCTGGCTGGCTGGCTGGCTGGCTGGCTGGCTGGCTGGCTGGCTGGCTGGCTGGCTGGCTGGCTGGCTGGCTGGCTGGCTGGCTGGCTGGCTGGCTGGCTGGCTGGCTGGCTGGCTGGCTGGCTGGCTGGCTGGCTGGCTGGCTGGCTGGCTGGCTGGCTGGCTGGCTGGCTGGCTGGCTGGCTGGCTGGCTGGCTGGCTGGCTGGCTGGCTGGCTGGCTGGCTGGCTGGCTGGCTGGCTGGCTGGCTGGCTGGCTGGCTGGCTGGCTTGCAACGAAACAACCAATAAGCTGTCGCTCAACAAATATGCATAGGATGGAAATGGAGATGAATTGGGCATGCACTAAGAAGACC